AGGACCAACACCAACTAAATCATCCCAGCCAGGGCTTGGTCAAGCCAGGCCTTAAAAACTTCTAAGGAAGGCGATTCCACCATCTCCCTAGGTAACCCATTCCAGTGCTTTACCACTCTCCTCGTAAAATAGTATTTCCTAGTATCCAACCTAGACCTCCCCCACTGCAACTTGAGACCACTGCTTCTTGTTCTGTCATCTGCCACCACTGAGAACAGCCGAGCTCCATCCTCTTTGGAACCTCCCCTTCAGGTAATTGAAGGCTGCTATCAAATCCCCCCTCACTCTTCTCTTCTCTTCTGCAGACTAAATAACCCCAGTTCCCTCAGCCGCTCCTCGTAAGTCATGTGCCCCAGCCCCCTACTCATTTTTGTTGCCCTTGGTTGGACTCTCTCCAATTTGTCCACATCCCTTCTACAGTGGGAGGACCCAAACTGGACGCAATACTCCAGGTGTGGCCTCACCAGTGCCAAATAGAGGAGAATAATCACTTCCCTCGATCTGCTTGCAGCGCTCCTACTAATGCAGCCCAATATGCCTTTGACCTTCTTGGCAACAAGGGCACAATGCTGACTCATATCCAGCTTCTCATCCACTATAATCCTCAGGTCCTTTTCTGCAGAACTGCCGCTTAACCAGTCAGTCTCCAGCCTGTAGCAGAGCATGGGATTCTTCCTTCCTAAGTGCAGGACTCTGCACTTGTCCTTGTTGAACCTCATCAGATTTCTTTTGGCCCAATCCTCCAATTTGTCTCGGTAACACTGGACCCTATCCCTACCCTCCAGCATACCTACCTCTCCCCACAGCTTAGTGTCATCTGTGAACTTGCTGAGGGTGCAATTCATCCCACCATCCACATCATTAATAAAGAGGTTGAACAAAACCGGCCCCAGGACCGACCTCTGGGGCACTCCCCTTGACCCCTGTTCATTGTTTCTCTGTTAGATAATAAAGTCTTGTCATCAAATTTAGACAGTCTAATACAAATAAAACACAATGGATGACGTGTTGGTCCCGACAGATCATTTCTTATGCCCCTAAAGACACAGTGGAGAATCCAGGAAGAGCTCAGGCCAGTGTTGTCCATCTAAGTGAAAAGACCAGGGAGGGAAGTTGCCATAACTATGTTCCCATCATACAGTTTCGAAGAGGTGGAGTGGAGACAATTTTTGATCAATTTTTATTTTAATAAAAAAGCCATTTTTGATCAGAATTAATGTTTGGACAATGAAAATACTAACTCCTGGTGCAGCATAGATGGGGACGTAAGCCTGGGAACTATGCCACCCCTGAAATTGTGCTTATTGCCATCCTCACCATATCCCCCTGCAAACCAGCTACCACCATTGCACTAACATACGCCGGATGCAAACAGCCAGGCCCCAGCAATGACCTCTTGACACTTCACCAGGAACAGCTTCATCGCTCTTATCTAGGCTAAGCCCAGCTGTGACCAGCTCCAGCAAAGCACCAGCATCGGGCTCACAGGACCCTTGGAGGCAGGGGGGTTGGGCAGACAAAGAGATAGACTCACAAACCAGGGCCACTGGGACTGTCCAGACCCAGCTGGGGGTTTGCTAAGGCACACGTAGAACGCAGGACATTTCTGGGGTTGGGTCTGTCAAACGGCCAGCGAGGAGGGACTTGGCCTGTGGCCCTCAGGGCAGCAGCTGCTCTGCCGCCACCAACTGCACAGAGCAGTTCAAAGGGAGGGGACCTGTTACAATGAGTGTCCCCAAAACTGACTGTAACAAGTGCCCATCCCGAGAGGGCTAGTTCTCAGGGCACCATGTCCAGCCAGCCTTAGGTACCACAGACAACTCATCTCCACGCAGGGTCCCCTCCTCAGGGAATGAGGCAACCTATGGTGAGAGGAAGTGGCTACCACCTACCAATGGACAGAACTCCTGTCATGCCAAAATGGCAGTGCTGGCTCAGTCAGTGGGAGCACGTCAGGGCTTGGCCAGAGGCAGGGGAGCTGGGCACCGGTGAGCCCGGTAGAATTTCAGCACTGCAGAAAGGATTTTCCAAGGGACCGAATGGAGTTAGGCACCCACATCCCTGTGAAATGGCAGTTGAATGCTGAACTCCCTTATCAGGGGGTAGCTATGTTAGCCTGTATCCACAAAAACATTGAGTCTTTAAGGTACCACCGGACTCCTCATTGTTTAACTCCCTTCGACGCCTCTGAGAATCTCAGCCTGGAGAGCCAGTGAGATTCTGTTATGGTCGGTTCAATCTATGCATTTCCATTGGAAACAGACACCACAGCAACAGAAATGCACTGGACTGATGGGAAACCCCTGCGAAACCTTTGAGAGCGTCCACTGTTGGGTGTGCTGTTGTAGCCAGTAATGTTCCATTCAAGCTGTTCTACGATTTGGTTCTCTGTGGCTCTAATTTGGAACAGCGCACACCTAGCAGTAGGTAAGAAATGAGGAAAGATGTGATTATGCCCTGTAGGGTCACTAGAGGGCAGGGGAATGAAAATGTGCAGCCATGCTGACCAATGGCCAATGGATAGCAGTCAAAGCAGAAGGGCAAGAAAGGAGAAGTTTTGTTGCCAAATGACCATCACAGGGAAGTGGAAAGGGAGGTGAAGCTGTATAATGGCATATAAGTGGTGACGAATGGACCTCTAGGTATGAAATGATAGTAGCAGATGTTGAGGAATGAGAAAGGGGCTGTTATACAGGCAGTCCTTGGACTTAAGACACAATTGGTTCCTGAAAATCACATCTTAAGTCAAATCGTCCTAACTTGGAACCGAGAGTTGTAAAGTCGAAACCAGCATTGTAAAGTGGATTTTATATTTCAATTTATAAATGTCATAAGTGCCCTTTGTCTTAACTCAAAGGTCATAAAGTCGAGGACTGCCTGCACGAAATAATGGCCAGCATGTGACAAGAGTCAAGAACTGGAAAGAGGCAGCTATAGCAAGAAGAATCCACTAGAAGAGAGCAGAATAACAGGCCGTCATGCTGGGAAATGAACACTAGATTGCAGCAGAGTAGAGGAAATGAGGGGAGTGGGGGGTTGCAGAAATATTGACTAATGACCAATAGATTTGAGTAGCCAACACAATAATGGACAAGTTATACTGTAAAGTGGCCACTAGGTGGCAGCATGTTATAAGGGTGAGATATGAGCAGCTATTTTCAGAAGTACCCACTAGATAGCAGCATATATTTAATCTTAATAAAGCTGTGGTCCGAGTCCGAGTGGCCAAGCCATAAGAAATAAGAGCTCATCGCTTCAAGCTTGGGCTGTGCTGTAGTTACAGGTGGTGGAGTACATTATAACAGTCCATCGTCTTGGAAAGGCATCTTCCAAAAATATAAGCTCCTGTTTGTTCATCATCAAAATATTTTCCATATAGGATCATTAGAATTAAATAAAATGCAATTGTACAAGTCACACTGTACAAGTCCCATTGGGCATTGTTAGCCACAAAGCTCTGGAGACACAAAACGAACCGTGTGGGAGAAAAGTTGAAGTGGGACCGTATTAAAAAGGGTGAAGACCGAATACAAATAGGAGGGAGCATTTACACTTTGTAGATCGAAGGGGAAGCTCATTTTTCAAACATAGATCAACTGTACGTGCTCATTCCTTCATGTACCTGCAGGTCTCTTCAGTGAGAAAATCCAGTTTCTGCAGAAAGAGGAGAGACAAGAACCTCAGCTAAGGATTCCGAGTCCGAGTGGCCAAGCCATAAGAAATAAGAGCTCATCGCTTCAAGCTTGGGCTGTGCTGTAGTTACAGGTGAGCACCATCCTCCTGACTGCATTTCTATACCACCACCAAATAGGGTCATGAATGTGCTTTGTGAATATTAGAGGGACAAGGTGGGTGAGGTAATATCTTTTATTGAACCAGCTTCTGTTGGTGAATGAGAGAAGCTTTTGAACTACATAGAGCTCTTCTTCAGATTAATATATGTAGTTTTAGGTTCACTTTCCCACAGCAGTGCCAGTCAGCGTTCACAGCAGCATTTCACAGAGAGGGAGCTTGAGATCCATGTCTTGTGACAAGTCCTCAGTTGGGGATCTGCCCCACTGACACAAATGGAGCTCTCTTGACTGACACCAGCTGGGGATCTGGCTCAGTGTGCCCAAGTGGGTGGCAAGTGATGCTAGAATCTTACTAGCCTGGATCACATGTGCCAGATTGTTTCTAGACTCCGAGTTCAGGGACAGCATCTTTCCCCCCCACATCCACCCCCACCCCCAGTGCCTTTCTTGTTCCTGTATTGTCATCCCACAATCATTATGGAGTGCAGAGGGTCACTCCCCACTTAGGGTTGAACATGAACCTGGTTTTGCCCCTTCCTAAGATCCACCCTCCAAAGAGCTGTATTTTATTACTGCACCAGTCAACATCAGGCAACAGAAAAGGCATTGCCAGTCTCTGACAACATCACCATCACACCCAGAGGAACTAAGGGAGAATTTACGCCACTTCAGAATTTATGGCATAACCTGATCTCTTGTGAGGGGCTGAAAATTATTCCTTCTCCGACAGGGCACTGAAATGCTGAATAGACCAGAATATATGGTTAGACTAATTTCCATTAATTCTAACAGAAGATTGTGCCTAAGGATACTAGACTGCACTGGAAATCTCAGTCCAAAGTATTGGTTGATGTATTTATTGATTTTGACTCTGGTCATTGCCAGAAGCGAAATACAGCATTTAAGCATCATTGTTAAGCTCTAGTATGTTACTAGATGGGATATGACAGTAGATAAAGAAGTGGTCTGATCTGTCTTATCAGTACTCGGCTACCAGAGAAATGGCCTGTTATATTAGTCATTGCTCTGATATGGCAGAAGGAGGTCTACATTAATACCAGTGATGTGTCCTCGGACTGAAACTCCTGGCACTTAGCTTTGAAGTCAACATTTAGTCTAAAACTTTCAGCCTGTAACCAAGAGAGGAAGGTGCATTTCTGAATATTTATGCAATTAATTCACAAAACTTGATTAATTTTTAACTCTATGTTCTTCCAATTCAATTTCACAGTTTGTTTTCTTGTTCCTTGACTCAACCCATGGCAGATAGAGACTGGAAAAATCAAACAGCTGTCACAGAATTCATCTTCCTGGGATTCGGGGATCTCCCTGATCTGAAAATTCTTCTCTTCCTCATGTTCCTAGTGATCTACATCGCAACCGTGACTGGGAACATGCTCATCACTGCACTAGTTGTGACGGATCAGCACCTTCACACCCCCATGTACTTCTTCCTGGGGAACTTGTCCTGCCTGGAGACCTGCTACACCTCAACCATCCTGCCCCGGATGCTGGCCAGTCTCCTGACTGGGGACAGAACCATCTCATTCAGTGGCTGTATCACACAACTGTATTTCTTTTGTGCTCTGGTGGCTACAGAATGCTGTCTCCTAGCAGCAATGTCTTATGATCGGTATTTAGCGATATGTAAACCCCTGCACTATTCAACTATTATGAATACCAGGTTTTGCCTCCAGTTGGCTGCTGGGTCAGGGTTAAATGGTTGTTTGGCTACTGCAATCTTTGTATTATTCATGTCTCATTTAATATTCTGTGGCCCGAATGAAATTGACCATTTCTATTGTGATCTCATCCCATTGATAAAACTTTCCTGCAGTGACACACACCTGATCATATTGCTGGATTTCGTACTGGCCTGTGTATTCACCCTGCCTCCATTCCTACTAACACTGACATCCTATGTGTGTATCCTCACAACCATCCTGAGAATCCCTTCCACCACTGGGAGGCAAAAGGCCTTTTCCACCTGTTCCTCTCACCTCATCGTGGTAACGATTTACTATGGAACCTTAATGATTGTCTACATGCTACCGAAACGCGACACATTAAACATCCTAAAAAAAGTGCTCTCTCTTTGCTACACAGTCCTGACTCCCCTGGTTAACCCACTCATCTACAGCCTGAGAAACAGAGATGTCAAGGAAGCCTTGAGCAAAGCAGTCAGTAAATATGTGGCTTTCACAAAAACAAGCAGAGAATCCAAGATTATAACTTAGCCTAAATCACCCAGGCAGCTTTGAAAACCTCAGGCTATCAGCCTCCACTGAAATTCATTTGAAATCCCCCATTGAAATTCTCACCACTAATGTGAAAAAAATGGAGATGATCTGTATGGAGTCACTGAGACAGTGTTGGCAGTCCCACACTGTCTCCATGTAACAGAACAGAGAGGAAAGTGAGATTGCGGACAGCTCTGTCACGCTCTCATGTTCACCACTGACACACGCAGAATGATGGTATTTTTCTCCATAGTCTTGTCTTAACATTCACCCTCTGTGAGGAGCGTGTACAGCGTCTGAAACTGCACAGAGCTGACATTGTGTAAGGCACAAAGTCCACTAACGATCAAAGTAAATCCCTGTGTATATCCGCTGTTCATTGTTTCTCTGTGCTAGATACTTAAGTCTTGTAATCAAATTCAGACAGTCTCATACAAACAAAACGCAATGGGTGACATCTTCATGTTTCTTGCTGCAGACCGTTTCTTATGCCCCTAAGGACACGATGGAGAATCCAGCTGGAGCTCAGGTCAGTGTGGTCCATCTAAGTGGAAGGACCGGGGGAGAAGTAGCCATAACCATGGTCCCATCACAGAGTTTTTAACTCCCGACCAGACAGAGTGCCCCCCCCCCCCCCCCCCTCACAGGTGGAGACTGCTCCGCAACCCCCCCCCCCCCCCCCCCCCCTTCAGGCAGAGTGGAGACCCCTATCTTTCTGTCCTTATCTAGGGATTTTACTATTAGGTCATTTCCCCCCATTTCCTTTTCCTGCCCTCCTATTCTTCTTCTGGTTCCAGAGAATCTACGCTTTTCTTTTTCCTTGCTTGCATCCACTCTTCTTCAGTGCTTCCTCTATCCTCACGGTCTAGCCTGGTTTCAGTTCATTTATCTCTTTCATCTCACACTGCCAGCCAGCCAGCAGCTCCTCTGTCAGCCCATGTGATAAATAAAGGTGGGAGGGAGTAGCTTCCTTTGATGGACACCCAGCCAGCCAGTTTGCTGTAAAATCTCTCTTGGTAGCTGTTCTTTACTTGCTTTACCTGTAAAGGGTTAAAAAGTCCCCTAGGTAAAGAAAAAAAAAAGTGGGCACCTGACCAAAAGAGCCAATAGGAAGGAAGAGCTTTTTAAAATTGGGAAAGAAACTTTCCCTTTGTCTGTTGTTCTCTGGGCTGGAGGGACAGAGCAGCCATGCAATAAGCAGCATAAGGCAGGTATGATTGCAAATGACCAGATCATGCCCAGAACTACTTACCTGAACTCCAACTCTGTAAGTAGATCAGAATGTTTAGCTAAACGCGATTAGGGTTATTTCTTTAAGTTCTTATTGGCTTGTGAACTTCTCTGTGCTAACCCCAGATGCTTTCGTTTGCTTCTAACCTTTAAGCTGACCCCTCAAGAAAGCTATTTTGGGTACTTGATTTTTGGAATTGCTCTTTTAAAATCTAGCCAAAACCTAAGTTCCAAATGTATTTTCTTTCTTTTTGTTTTTAATAAAATGTACCCTTTTTAAGAACAGGATTGGACTTTTGGTGTCCGAAGAGGTTTGTGCCTGTTGTTTGATTAGCTGGTAGCCACAGCTAATTTCCTTTGTTTTCTTTCTCAGCTCTTCCCCAGAGAGGGGCTGAAAGGGCTTGAGGGTCCCCACAGGGAGGAATTCCCAAGTGCTCCTGCCTGGGTTCCAAGGGGTTGGGTTTTTTTGCATTTGGGTGGTGGCAGCATTTACCAAGCCAAGATCAGAGAAAAGCTGTCACCTTGGGAGTTCAATACAAGCCTGGAGTGGCCAGTATTAATTTTCAAAATCCTTGTGGACCCCGCTTCTGCACTTGGAGTGACAGAGTTGGGATTCAGCCTTGACAGCCCACAATCACCACTGAGACAACCCCTCTTCAGACCTTAACCACTTCCTGCCACACCCCATGGGCTTATATAGGATCAAGGAGCCAATCAGGGATTGCTAAAACCAGTGTCAGTCAGATCACTTGAGGCGGAACGTGCCATGGTGTTCTACCACTGCAGATTGCGTGCTGTGGGGAGTAATCAAATGACAGGTGGCAACGTTGGTTGCCTGGTCGCCCTATAGACCAGGGTGAAAGTCCCCCCAGGCCTTAGAATCATAGAATCATAGAATATCAGGGATGGAAGGGACCCCAGAAGGTCATCTAGTCCATCCCCCTGCTCGAAGCAGGACCAATTCCCAGTTAAATCATCCCAGCCAGGGCTTTGTCAAGCCTGACCTTAAAAACCTCTAAGGAAGGAGATTCTACCACCTCCCTAGGTAACGCATTCCAGTGTTTCACCACCCTCATAGTGAAAATGTTTTTCCTTATATCCAATCTAAACCTCCCCCACTGCAACTTGAGACCATTACTCCTCGTTCTGTCATCTGCTACCATTGAGAACAGTCTAGAGCCATCCTCTTTGGAACCCCCTTTCAGGTAGTTGAAAGCAGCTATCAAATCCCCCCCCTCATTCTTCTCTTCTGCAGACTAAACAATCCCAGCTCCCTCAGCCTCTCCTCATAAGTCATGTGTTCTAGACCCCTAATCATTTTTGTTGCCCTTCGCTGGACTCTCTCCAATTTATCCACATCCTTCTTGAAGTGTGGGGCCCAAAACTGGACACAGTACTCCAGATGAGGCCTCACCAATGTCGAATAGAGGGGAATGATCACGTCCCTCGATCTGCTCGCTATGCCCCTACTTATACATCCCAAAATGCCATTGGCCTTCTTGGCAACAAGGGCACACTGCTGACTCATATCCAGCTTCTCATCCACTGTCACCCCTAGGTCCTTTTCCGCAGAACTGCTGCCTAGCCATTCGGCCCCTAGTCTGTAGCGGTGCATTGGATTCTTCCATCCTAAGTGCAGGACCCTGCACTTATCCTTATTGAACCTCATCAGATTTCTTTTGGGCCAATCCTCCAATTTGTCTCGGTCCTTCTGTATCCTATCCCTCCCCTCCAGCGTATCTACCACTCCTCCCAGTTTAGTATCATCCGCAAATTTGCTGAGAGTGCAATCTACACCATCCTCCAGATCATTTATGAAGATATTGAACAAAACCGGCCCCAGGACCGACCCCTGGGGCACTCCACTTGACACCGGCTGCCAACTAGACATGGAGCCATTGATCACTACCCGTTGAGCCCGACAATCTAGCCAGCTTTCTACCCACCTTAAAGTGTATTCATCCAGCCCATACTTCCTTAACTTGCTGACAAGAATACTGTGGGAGACCGTGTCAAAAGCTTTGCTAAAGTCAAAAAACAATACATCCACTGCTTTCCCTTCATCCACAGAACCAGTAATCTCATCATAAAAGGCGATTAGATTAGTCAGGCATGACCTTCCCTTGGTGAATCCATGCTGGCTGTTCCTGATCACTTTCCTCTCATGCAAGTGCTTCAGGATTGATTCTTTGAGGACCTGCTCCATGATTTTTCCAGGGACTGAGGTGAGGCTGACTGGCCTGTAGTTCCCAGGATCCTCCTTCTTCCCTTTTTTAAAGATTGGCACTACATTAGCCTTTTTCCAGTCATCCGGGACTTCCCCCGTTCGCCATGAGTTTTCAAAGATAATGGCCAATGGCTCTGCAATCACAGCCGCCAATTCCTTCAGCACTCTCGGATGCAACTCGTCCGGCCCCATGGACTTGTGCACGTCCAGGTTTTCTAAATAGTCCCTAACCACCTCTATCTCCACAGAGGGCTGGACATCTCTTCCCCATTTTGTGATGCCCAGCACAGAAGTCTGGGAGCTGACCTTGTTAGTGAAGACAGAGGCAAAAAAAGCATTGAGTATATTAGCTTTTTCCACATCCTCTGTCACTAGGTTGCCTCCCTCATTCAGTAAGGGGCCCACACTTTCCTTGGCTTTCTTCTTGTTGCCAACATACCTGAAGAAACCCTTCTTGTTACTCTTGACATCTCTTGCTAGCTGCAGCTCCAGGTGCTATTTGGCCCTCCTGATATCATTCCTACATGCCCGAGCAATATTTTTATACTCTTCCCTGGTCATATGTCCAACCTTCCACTTCTTGTAAGCTTCTTTTTTATGTTTAAAATCCGCTAGGATTTCACCATTAAGCCAAGCTGGTTGCCTGCCATATTTACTATTCTTTCGACTCATCGGGATGGTTTCTCCCTGTAACCTCAACAGGGATTCCTTGAAATACAGCCAGCTCTCCTGGACTCCTTTCCCCTTCATGTTAGTCCCCCAGGGGATCCTGGCCATCCATTCCCTGAGGGAGTCGAAGTCTGCTTTCCTGAAGTCCAGGGTCCGTATCCTGCTGCTTACCTTTCTTCCCTGCGTCAGGATCCTGAACTCAACCAACTCATGGTCACTGCCTCCCAGATTCCCATCCACTTTTGCTTCCCCCACTAGTTCTACCTGGTTTGTGAGCAGCAGGTCAAGAAAAGCGCCCCCCCCAGTTGGCTCCTCTAGCACTTGCGCCAGGAAATTGTCCCCTACGCTTTCCAAAAACTTCCTGGATTGTCTATGCACTGCTGTATTGCTCTCCCAGCAGATATCAGGAAAATTAAAGTCACCCATGAGAATCAGGGCATGCGATCTAGTAGCTTCCGTGAGCTGCCGGAAGAAAGCCTCATCTACCTCATCCCCCTGGTCCGGTGGTCTATAGCAGACTCCCACCACTACATCACTCTTGTTGCACACACTTCTAAACTTAACCCAGAGACACTCAGGTTTTTCTACAGTTTCGTACCTGAGCTCTGAGCAGTCATACTGCTCCCTTACATACAGTGCTACTCCCCCACCTTTTCTGCCCTGCCTGTCCTTCCTGAACAGTTTATAACCATCCACGACAGTACTCCAGTCATGTGAGTTATCCCACCAAGTCTCTGTTATTCCAATCACGTCATAGTTCCTTGACATCACCAGGACCTCCAGTTCTCCCTGCTTGTTTCCAAGGCTTTGTGCATTCGTATATAAGCACTTGAGATAACCTGTTGATCGCCCCTCATTCCCAGTATGAGGC